TCTCGGCCTCCTGCGAAGCCCTCGTCGCCACCGCTAGATTCGCCTCAGAATCCTGGTCAGAATGCACCCCAGGAGAGGTCCGGGGAGTAGCGGTATCGGTGCCTGTTGGTTTCCCTAGAGGTCTTCACCCCGAGATCCTGGCGTCGTGGCAGTGTTTTTCGCAACGGGCGTTTTCGCCCGGCTTCGGGCCTGGGGACCCTCACAGATCGATCCTGCTTGAAAAGTGAGGCGGCAAGATGGGGTCCGGGGCTCCGGTCGTGGAGGGGGAGGAGGAGGAGGAGGAGGAGGAGGAGGAGGAGGAGGAGGAGGAGGAGGAGGGAGTGAGTGAGCAAGCTAAAAACGTACAAGCCGTTACAAGCAGAGATGAAAACGATTTCAGGAGGAGAAATCAGCGTCCTCCTCCTCCCGAAGCAGGCCCGATGCAGGCCTGGGCGGTTTTGATGTTTTTTCTTGAATCGAGCAATCAAAAAGCCGTCCACACTGTACACGGACGGCCGCAGCCCGCGCCTCTGCACGCGGGCGGGCTGCACTCTTGATGCGATTGCTTACTGCGGGCCGTCTCCTGGCAGCACGCGCAGTTTTCCCAAATTCTTGAAGCAGGTCTTTGCCTGCCCGCCGCATCCGCCACACCCAAGCCCACAAGTACGTGCGGCAACGCTCCCAATCGGACGTATGAACGCCGTCTGGGATGCTGCTGCGCATCTCAGGCCACAAGCCATCGCAGCACTGCGTGCCTTTTTTTAAAAGGAGCGTTTCGGTGCGCCCGTTCGGGCGCACGACGCGCACGCGGTCGACGACGGCCCACTGCTCGGCATCGTGGGAAACTATGCCGTGCGACAGTTTCAGATGCTTGCAATGAGCATTGAAGCGCTCCGCGCTGAAGCGGGGAGGGTCCTTACTCTTGTCGCTGTACGCAGCACGGCTCTTCGGGGCAACGGATTGGTATGCGCCTGCTCCGTCGGTTAAAAACGTAAAATTTCCAGGCACGAGAACCCAAGAGAGGATCTCGTCACACTCGGGCCCGCTGAGCGATACGCCGCTCCCTCCAGCAGCACAGGTGCGCTGAGGCAGCTCGAAAAACATCGCCAACGGTCGTGCCCCCGAGGCATCACGCACATAAACCGATGATGCAATATCCGATACCGCCCATGAGGATGCTTACCGCACGTCTGATCCGAGCAGTCCGACGGGCAAGGCACGCGGCGTGCACGCATTGACGCCTCGTCGGCTTCAACGAGGCACCCGCGGGGCCATTTGAACTCATCTTGCTCGGCCTGAGCTGCGCGAGCGCATATGGCCCGCACCACGCTGGCAATGCGCTGAGATGCGTTCTTCGATATCCCCACCTGCACCGCTAGCTCGTCCGACGACTCGTAGCCCGAGGCGTGCTGAGTCGCTGCGTGGGCGAAGGCGAGGAGAGTGCGGGTGGTGTTCACAGAGCCCTGGTTGAACAACTCCTTCAAGGGGCCCTTCGGGTCGGGGTTGGACTCGCGCTTCTGGCAATCCCAATTGGAACAGCGCCACACAGGGTAGTCCATATGGGGAATGCTGAAGCCCTCCACCTGAGTATGCTTGTCCGTCTGGCTGCTCCGAGTCTTCAACTCCATCGTGCCGCTCTGGCACGCCGAGCACTCGACTCCCAGGTCTGGCAGCACACCGATCTCGACCATGATGCGCGCGAGGAGCTCGGGCTGGATGCGCGCCAAATCGATCAGTGCGATTCTCTGGGAAATCTTGAGCTCGGCAACGCGAGGTCGATCAGCTTGCTTTTGCATCGGAGGGATGTACGACGGGCCAGGCGCCTCCTTATTCGGCTTCGCTTTTCCCTTCCTCATCATCGAGCTCTTGCTGATACGACTTCCCTTTGTGAGCGACACCCTGCGCGTGTCAGAAAGCTTCCTAGACGGGAGAGTTGCACAGGCAGGCCGTCTCTTCGACGAGGGAGTTGAACGAGCGGGCTTCTTCTTCAGAATCGCCTTTGCCACGCGATGAGCCCGCTTGTGCTTGTCCGCCTTGGAAGCTTTGCCACCAGTGCGGCATGATGGGCAGGTCTGGCGCGCGGGAGAGCGGAAGCGGGACCGCGAGCTGATCGCCGAATTGAGCCAAAGGTGCTACGGACAGAGCAGCAGTGCGGCAACCACGTGCGCGGCATCTGCAGATGCGCGACGCCTCAAGTATGATCACGGCCAGAAAGCGCTGATATTTTTCTCATGCGGGACCTCGTTCTTGCAACGCCCCGCCCCGTTCACGGGCGCTGCCCCTCTCCGACGTGCACAAATTCTGGCTCGCGCGCGCCCCATGCTGGCGCCTGCACGCGTGCGCCTCGCTTGGGGGGGGGGGGGGGGGGGGGGGCGAGCGTCGGAAGGGCCTTTCCCCGCGCCACTGCGCGCGAGGGGGTGAGGAGGGCGAGTGCGCGGCGCTGGCGTCGCCGAGTTAGGCGCCCAGAACCTGCCACCAGTCGCGTGCCTCGGCACGCACGCCGCCTGGCATGCAATGCCACGACACGTGGCCCGCGTTGCAGGCGCGGGCGTCACCGTCGAATACTATGAATCCCTCTCGGAAGATCAGGGCCGCCACGGCGTGCCCGACCACTCCAGGCGCTGAGCCGTAGGTGGCGATGTAGCGACCAGGCGGCGCGCCGCGGGCCCCGCGGATGAATGCGGGGGAGATCGTGTGCCCGTCGCTCGCAACCATGGCCCTGGCATCATTGATGCTGAAAGGGCCGTCTCGAAGGTATGGTACAGCGAGGCCCAGGGCGTTCAGCGCGTCGATCACGCAGCAGTCCTGGCGACGGCATGGAATGCGATGGGGGGGATCGCAACATGTTATTGAGACGCATGGCAAACACGCGAGCGCGCACGCGCATCATCATCATCATCATCGCCATCGTCATCGTCATCATCGTTCTCTCCATCATCATCGCGATCATCACCATCACCATCATCATCATCATAATCAGCCGCGGCGAACTCCTCCTCTCCTCCTCCTCGTCCTACTCAGTGCCATTCGCAGCTGGAGGCTGGAACACCAGAGACCATTGAGAACACCTTTTTTTTTATATTAAAAAAAAAAAAAAAACTGAAACACAACATATGTTTCAGACAAGTCTGCCGGACCCGAGGCCACTTCCTGAAGCTCGCCCGAAATGTTTTTTTTGTTTTTTTTTTTTATATGTGTTTTAGGTTTCCCTGCGGCTCCCGCTTGAGGACTGCTGGAGGCGCTCTCCGACGCCCAAGTCGGAAACTCCTCTTCCTCTCCTCCTCCTCGTCCTACTCAGTGCCATTCGCAGCTGGAGGCTGGAACACCAGAGACCATTGAGAAACCCTAGAAACAGATGTTTCTGACAAATCTGCCTGACCCGAGGCCATTTTTTTTTTTTTTTTTTTTTTTTTAGGTTGTCCTGCGACTCCCGCTTGAGGACTGCTGGGGGCGTTCTCCGACGCCCAAGTCGGAAAACGCTGAAAACGCCCAGGCCTGCATCGGGCCTGGCGCCCCTCCTCCTCCCAGGCACCCTCGCGGCCGCGCGCGGGCGCCTGGGCCTCCCAAAATGGGAGGCGGTTCACGAAGACGCCGAAGTGCGAGAGCAGGCGCCCCATGGTGAGCTCCATGCCCCACGGCGGTCCTGCACGCAACACTGCGCGAGGTTCAGCACCTGGTCTCGGCCTCGGGCCGAGAACCGCAGATGCCAGACTGGTCAAGTCTGCGGCACTGCGGCACTGGGCTTCTCAAGCGACCCCAGAGTCCAGCCCTTGCACCGCGACAACCAACGCGGGAAACGTCCAGAAAACAACCTCTTACGCTGCTGTCGGAGACCCGTGCCTGCAGCAGCTGGATTACAGTTGGTGGAGAGCGACCTGACAGATCCCCACGCGAAGGCCCCGCAAGCTAAACAACATATCAACCTGGGACCCGCCACTACCGAGGCCCCCTGGTCGTCGAACACGGCAGCCACTCGGAGGCAGTGGCCTGAGAGGTTGCACAAGAGGCCCAGTTCGGGATCATGACCCTCTGCGGCGACCTCCGAGAGCACCGCGTGGAAAGCCAGCCAGGCCTTCGGCGCAGCATAGAACCTGCAAGGCCTCGAGGCCCTGGCGGGCATCTCGGGTGCCTCGGGGAGCCCAGTCGAGTCCGCCCAGCCGCGCTCGGCCATGAGAACTCCCTGCTGCCCCACCCACTGGCCCACCTCCCGCCCCAGATAGTGTAGGCCAGCGATTTGTGAGGCAGCTCGGTCCACCGACGGATGGACAGCCGCACCCTTCTTGGCAAAGGCGTCGGTGGCGGCGTTGGCCTTGCGTTCCCAGAAAGTGGAGTGGCCACGCCAGACGTCAGCCTCCGACACATGTGCCTTGGTCTTGTGCACAGCGAGGCCGCATGAAACCTAGTCCACATGTGCGCTTGGCCACAGCTGGCCGACAAGGCCCTGGCGCGGCTCCTTGCCGCCGAGACTATGCCCGCGCAATCTACCCAAACAGCTTCGACGTTAAAGGCCACCAAGGGTAGTATACACATAGCAAAGTCCTCTCCATCTCGAGCGAGCTGGAGAGGAGCCGCGTCCCACGGCACGGGGCCATAGGCCGCGGCGATGGTGTTGCCCAAGTGGTCCACCATCACCACAGCCCAACCAGCGCGCCTGAGCATAGCATCAGTCGGAAGCAAGGCCAACCCGTCGGCGAAAAGCCTTCCCGAGAGCAAGCCGTCGGCGGGGCATTGAGAGGGAGGAGGAGGAGGAGGAGGAGGACGAGGAGGAGGAGGGGGAGGGGGAGGGGGAGGAGGGGGAGATGTTTCCAGATGTTGCATGTTTGTCTTGCACGACGTCGGATGTGAGGGCAGGTCCATGGCCACCCCCCCCACGAGTCGCCAGAGCATGGCACCGCTGCAGAGGGCGTGGACATACTCTGGCGGCGCCAGGTCTGGTGCACACCATATTCTTGATTTTCGGGTGGTATGAGCCGGACTGGTGGCGCGACGGCCATGATCTTCACGATTGCACCCTCGAGGAGATGGTGGAGATTCTCACGAGCTATTTATCCGCCAACATCCTCTTTTGGCGGCCGGACAGGGACGAGCAGCTCTCCTGCTCCGACAGCATGACTGCAGGGGACTTCCGTGACGAGTGGACGCGACGCCAAGCGGCGAGCCCAGGGCCCTACCCGCATGCGTCAGAGGCTGCTTCGGTCGCAGATGCGGTCTGCATGTACGCGCAGATGCTGCATGGGATCCTCTACGTGCACAACTTCACGCTCGATAGCGTCCAGGAGCGGACGAGAGAGGCCTACGACATGATCCAGGTTCAGAGGACGCAATACATCTACACACCGATCCTGGCCAGGTCTATCCTCTGCCCAGGATCGCTAAATGTATACAAGCATATGGACATTCACAAAAACACATTACACATGTATCTCTCGCTATCTATACATATATATATATATATACATATTATATAATATATATATATATATATATATATATATATGTGTGTGTATGCCCCCATGGCTCGGCCAGGAGGGAGGGCATTCACACCGTGTTTGGGTCCAAAATTACCCTCAACAGGATCGGTGCAGGTGAATAGTTAGCCTCCCCCAGCAGGAGCTATTCGGCGCCACGGACTTTCAAGGCGTCACTGGGCGGATCGAGCTAAGCCCCCACAAAGGCGAGCCAGATGGCGCAATCCTTCTCCAGCACCTGCGAAGCTCTACGCACGGAGTCGAGGTTGTGGATATCGCAGTGTACAACCACCAGGTCTTAGGCGTTCCAGACAGCGCCGTGTTTCCGAGGGATCGAAAGGTTGTCATCTCTTCTTCGGTGCAAGGCGGTGGAAGTAAAACGAGGGCGGCTCCGACCGCGGAAGCCAGCGGAAGGCCGGCGAAGTAGGAAAAAAAGCCCAAAGAGATGCACTCATTGATGGGGTCCGGGTTTCCAGAACCGGCCAGGTCTTGAAGTTTCTAGGTCGGGACAACCTCACGTTCAGCATGCCCGGGGAGAATTATTACGCCGGGCCTCAGGGGGTGACCCACATTGACGCCAGGATGGACGACTACAAGTCCTGCGATATCCCATTGATGCTCGACCTTGTTAGAAACGAGTGCAAGCCTTGCCCTGACGGCATGACCTTCGCCGCGCAATTCAAGACGTGTTCGTGCAGGCCCGGGTTTGCAGCGGCCCCCGGAGGTGATTATTGCACCGCTTGTACGGCGGGCACTTTCACCGAGGAAACTGGCAGCACTGAGTGTCAGCAGTGTCCGAGAGGAAAGTTCGCAATGAGTGCCAGTCAGACGGAGTGCACAAGGTGCGGGATCGGATCGTACCAGGACGAGAGGGGCAGATCCCAGTGCAAACTTTGCAACAGAACCATGACCACAGTTGGCGACGGCGTCGAGTCCAGAGACCTTTGCACGTGCGGCTCAGGAACGCGGCCAGGAGCCCACGGCGAGTGTAAGGATTGCGGCGATGATGAGGAGACTGGTTTGGTCTGCAAAGGCGGTCATGACGTCGAGCTGGCGCCTGGCTTCTTCGCCGCAGACGATTCGCTGTCCGTGTTCAGGTGTCGAGCGGGGGTGTCCCGCTGCGTGGGCGGCCCGCCTGGCAAGATGTGCGCCGCGGGACGCGAGGGTATCGCGTGCGCGGACTGCGTGGTGGGCACGAGGATGTCGTCGGATGGCACCTGCGTGGCCTGCAACGGGGACAGCACCGGCTGGATTGTCTTATCTTTGTGTGGTGGAGGCGTCATCGCGTTCCTCACCGCCACGTACTTGTACATCGACTGTAAGGGCACCTCGCAGCGGGGCCACTCGTTCCTGCTGCTCGCCCTGACGCTCAGCATGTGCGTGGCCATGCTCCAGCAGCTGAGCATCGTTGCGCTGTTCACGCAGGTGAAATGGCCAAACGACATGCGATATGTCCTGGAATGGGTTTCGTTTCTTGCGTTCGACGTGGAAGCCTTCAACATCTCCTGCGTAGCAAGAACATCTTCGTTGGAGCGTTTTGCCATCAGCATAGTCACCATGGTTGCGCCCTATGCAATTCTCGTCCTGGTCCATGTTGTCGCAGTGCTGCTGCACCACAAGGGCGATTTCCATAGCCGTTCCACGTCCCTGATTGCGAGCACAGGTACTGTATCTATGATAGTTTACATTTCCGTTCTCGCGAATCTGTTGCAGCCACTCCAATGCATGCAGAATCCGAACGGCCTGTGGACCATGCGTGCGTCACCCTCGGTCATCTGTTGGGACACGCAGGAGCATCGAACGATGGTGGCTATTGCGAGCGTTGCCGTGCTGGCACCGCTAGGATACCTGGCGAAGTGCTGCCAGGTCGTATGGCGCTTCCCCGCGAGGATGCACGCGGGACAGGTCGATTACCTCCACAGGTACCACTTCTTGTTCTTCAGATTCCGCAGCGAGTGCTACTGGTATTCCTTGGTGCACATGTTCCGGAGCCTACTGCTCGCTAACCTGCCCGTCCTCCCCGACGCCGCGGGCCAGATCTTGTGCATGCAGGCGATTATGCTCTTCCAGCTCTACTGCGTACTCGCATACAGGCCATGGCGAGTCCCAGTAGCCAACCAGCTTGACGTGTTCCTCACGACGGCGATCATGCTTCTCCTCGGCATCGCTGCCTTCTTCGTCGACACGACGATAGTGACATTCGTGGCCGCGGCAGCCGTGTGTCTATGCGCTATCCTTTTTCTAGCGTTGCCAGTGATGGGGCTGTGGATTTTGTTCAAACGATGCCAGGGTCAGTGCGGCAAGCGGTTCAATTACTTCTTGTGTCATCACAAGGCTACCGCTGGAAGTTTCGCGCGGCTTTTGAAAATGGAGTTGTACAGAACGAAGGCTGCAGTCAGAGAGGTATTCTTAGACACAGACAACCTGATTAATTGGAAGGCCTCCAGCCACTTTCGCCTGACCCGCTGCCCGGTGCATGGAATGATATTGAGTCACAATCGTCGTCGTCGTCATCAATATCATACGTGGGTTCTTCCTTTTCGTACTGGGCGCCCAATGCCTCTTCTCTCCCAGTGAGCTTGTTTGATCCATCGGGGCTCCATTGGGTTTATCTTGGGCCGTCTCATGTCAATATCTGCGCCGCCTCGCTGCTCTGTTTGAATATGGTGGGCCCTCTGATCAGTATATGGACCTTGCACGCGCAGTGCGCTTGCGATAGTTTTGAAGAGCATTTCTAAGAAGTCTCGCCATGGGAGCGCGGAGCCGGTGAAATTTACAAGTGATCGTGGCCTGGGGAGCGCGGATCGGGTGCGTTGCGCGAGAGATCGTAACATTGGGAGCACGAGCCAAGCCTAGTTGTCCAAGCATCGTAACTAATGAGAGGTCGTGGGCCTGGAAGCGCAGGTCGAAACGGAATGATTCACGCTTCGCGTTTCCCCATCAGCATCGCGCTTTGCCACGCTCGGTGGCACGATTACCTCTGGCGCCTGGCGCGACAGGTTACAATTCTTTCGTCTTCCCGGTCGTCTCGCCTCTGGGCTGGTTGCACTTCGGCCGCCTGGGTCACCTGGCAGCTCCTCCAGCCTGCCTTCAGCCCCCGGCGCCGCTCAGTATCCCTCGGCGGCAGCTTTGGCAGCCGTGAGTGCGTTCGCTGGATAATTAGGTTCCGCCCGTAGCCCGGGTCGATCCTTGACGCCGCCTGCGCCTTCGCTTGCGGCCGCGACCAAGAAAGACCATCAGCAAGGACACCTTCTTCGGTAAGTGCGTCCTGAGGGGCCCGAGTTGCTGACTTCTCAATGTGCGTGGTCGCTTTCCCACACCGTGCTTGCGTCACCAATTGGCACCTCAGTGGGCACGCCCTGCGTTACCTGGTGCCGCAGCTTTGATCGACGTGATTACGTTTATGATGTGTGATGCCTCCCGCGCCATGTTGGCCGCGTTGGGCCCAGTTCCGCTCTGAGCCGGGCGCCGTTCGCTTCGCTTTTTTCTCGTTCACTTCGGCGCGGCCCGCCTTAGCTTGCACGGCGTTCGGCTCGTCTTCGCGCGCCCGCGTACCGAAAAAAATATCCCCACCAGCCTGTTCAGAAGCGTTGCCTATGAGAGCTAAAGGGGCGAACGGACGTATCTAGTGAAACAAGGTGGGCAATCAGGATGAACGGGGAGATCGCTGGGAGCAAGGGGGGTGCCTTGGAGGGCCAAGTCGGGCCTTTTTTTGGGGCGCGCGAGGAGGCTAGGTAAGGAGGAGGAGGAGGAGGAGGAGGAGGAGGAGGAGGAGGAGGAGGAGGAGGAGGAGGAGGAGGGGGGAGGGGGAGGGGGAGGAGGAGGACGAACAGGAGGCAAGCCGCCTCTTGGGGCACTCGTGGGACGCTATTGGGATCGTGCTGGGCGCTCTTAGGGCCCTCTTGGGGCCTTTCTGGAGCCTTTGTGGGGCCATCTTTGCGTCTCTTGGGGCCCTCTTGGGAGCCCTGGAGGGCCCCTTGGGGCAATATTGGAGGCGATCGCTCAAACGAGGGGGGGTCTCAAATTGCCGCCCCACCCCACCCTCACCCCTGGGGCCATCCAAATCGTTTTGGGGGGCTCTGTTGGGCTGCTCCTGGGCCGCTCAATGGCGCTTGCAGGGCCGTTTGGGGGGCCTCTTGGGTCCTTGTTGGGCCTCTGGGGAAATTGTGGGTGCACCTTGAGAATTCAAAAGCTCATCGTAAGCGAAAAGGAGAGAAGGTACACATCAATGATTTGCTGTGGATGTTTGAAGAATGTTTGCATATTGGAAAGGGTTCTTGAGGGGGCTACGTTGGCACCTGGAGTCGGCATGTGGCTCTTGTCGCGCCTTGTGGAGGCATGTCGATATGTTGAAACATCTCCTGCTATCTTGAGCCGCCGTTGAGGCCATCTTGAAGCATCGGAGGCCCTCTTGGAGCCACCTTGGGCCATCTTCAGCGCTCTCACCCCTCGCGGCCCCCGCCCAAGAAGAACTCTGGGAGGGGAGGGGGAGGGCTCCCCTCCCCGAAGGGAAGAGGGATTTTGGACAAGGCTACACCACCCTATCCCCAAAGGCTGGTGGAATTTGGAGTGGTTGAGAAGGGATCGTTGCCCGGGGAGCGCGGACCCAGGGCAATTGTCAGAGGGTTGAGCACGCACCCGTTGCAGTTTACCAGGGTTCGTGACCCGGGCAACGCAGATTCAGCTTCATGTGCAACGGATCGTGGATTTGGAAGCGCAGACCCGGCGTAATTTGCAGGGGATTTGGGCTCTGAAATCGACGACCCAGTGTGATTGACGAGGGATCATTGCCATGTGTGTTCGGGTCCAGCGTCATTCGTAACAAAAAGATCGAAACCAATCGCCCCAGCCAGCTCAACCAGCCAGCCCAATCAACCCAACCGATCCAACCCGCCAGCCCGCTACCCAGCCCAACCATCCAACCCACACCAGCCAACCCGCCACACGGCCAACCCGCCCACCCCCGCCGCCTGCCTTTCGTCACCGCGGAGGGAGTGGGGAATATTTCTCACAAGCGAAAGGGGGGAAAGTGTTTCTCACAAACGAAAACAGGCTGCGAACCAGTGTCAGGTGAGAGCCGTTGTTGCTGTTGCCGGGGGCCGACTCTATATTCTACCCTGCAACAGCCAGGGCGCGAGCGTCGGGGGGCGCATTTCAAGTCAACAAAAACAAACGCGCACTGGTGGACGGGGTGAACATCATTTGGCATTCGAAAGTGACAATTTAACATTGAAGCCACCCCAGATCACAGGGGGGGCGGCGGATCTGGACGGGCTATTTGAGGTCGTCGCTAGCGAGACCGAGGTGATCATCCTCGTCGCATCTGAGGGGGTGTTCATGCGCCCGTGGTGCGTAGGGGAGCTCGCTACGGCCATGGATCGTGGGGTTGAGGGCATCCGTCTCCTGTTACCAGGATTCAGACACCCAGATGAAGAATTCATCGATGTCTACCAGTCATACGCCGGCGACTTGTCCGTTCTCTCTAGCCGTGGAATCGGCATCAGCAAGGTGCAGGACGCGATCAGGTGGGCTTGTGGCCTTCCGTGGGTGAAGGTGCCAGCGTCATTAAACACCGTCAAGATGCACGGTTTGGTGGAGGAGATGACGGGTTGCATGCGCATGGAGGAACAAAAGGATGTACGCCTGACCCTGTCTTTGCGGACGAACTCCACCAATCCGATCTCCAAAGGAGTGGTGTCGGTCGGATCGGCGGACAGAATGTTCCGTGGCCCGACGCTTATGGAGAATGCTGTTAGTGCAGTGCGGAGGGAAGTTGGGCATCGCAATTACATCGTCTGCGACGAGTTGAACTTCGAGGCGACCTGCACCAGCATGATCCTGGCGCGGCTGCTGTACCCCTTCTTCGCCCACGTGCCCGAGGAGCTGCCCAAGGCCCTGGGCACCGCGGAGCCCTTGCCCCCCACCGCGAAGAAGGTGATCCTCGTCTGCACCAACGGCGCTCTGGAGCAGGAGAACGTGCTCGCGACCCTCTCGAGGGGCCTCGGCGCGGCCGCGCAGTTCTTGCCCGTGCTGCTGGACGACGACTTCCGGTTCCCCACTGCCTGCTTCGCAAGGGAGCACGCGGAGATGTTGCAGGAGGTCTCGGGGCAGACCCAACGTGCCCCCGAGCAGGCGTACTTTGGAGTGGGAGGAGGAGGAGGAGGAGGAGGAGGAGGAGGAGGAGAAGGAGGAGGAGGAGGAGGAGGAGGAGGAGGAGGAGAAGGAGGAGGAGGAGGAGGAGGAGGAGGAGGAGGACGAGGAGGAGGAGGAGGAGAGCGCGTGGCCCCTCCCAAAGGTTGCCGGCACCGTATCGGGCGCCACGGCGCTGGGCGAGGCCGTGGGCGACATCTTCAAGATCGTGGCCCTCCCATTCCATTCGATGATCCCCAGGACGTGTGTTAGCACAGAGCCAAGTCGGGCGTGTCCCTGTCTACAGAAGGAAAATTCCCAAATAGTGAAGATAATGTTCTGGGGACGACTTGTCTATTATTTGAGATTTTTTTTGGTATTGCTTGACTGTTCTTTATTGTTTCGCCCAATATCCGCTTGTCGGGGCACACGCCCGACCTAAGCATCGTGTGTGCGTGTTTGTGTGTGTGTTTGTGTGTGTGTGTTTGTGTGTGTTTGTGTGTGTGTTCTTTGTGTGTGTGTGATTTGTGTGTGTGTGTGTGTGTGTTTGTGTGTGCGTGCGTGCGTGCGTGCGTGCGTGCGTGCGTGCGTGCGTGCGTGCGTGTTTGCGTGCGTGCCTGCGTGCCTGCGTGCTGGCGTGCGGGCGGGCGGGCGGGCGGGCTGGCAGTGGGTGGGGGGGCGGGGGGGGGGGGGGCGGGCGGGCGCGCGCGCGCGCGTGGCGTGGCGCGCGCGCGCGCGCGTGCGTGCGTGCGTGCGTGCGTGCGTGCGTGCGTGCGTGCGTGCGTGTGTGTGTGTGTGTGTGTGTGTGCGTTCTGTGTGCGTTCTGTGTGCGTTCTGTGTGCGTGTGTGCGTGTGTGTGTGTGTGTGTGTGTGGATGTGGGTGTGGGTGTGGGTGTGGGTGTGGGTGTGGGTGTGGATGTGGATGTGGATGTGGATGTGGATGTGGATGTGGATGTGGATGTGGATGTGGATGTGGATGTGGATGTGGATGTGGGTGTGTGTGTGTGTGGATGTGGATGTGGACGTGGACGTGGACGTGGACGTGGACGTGGATGTGGGTGTGGATGTGGATGTGGACGTGGACGTAGATGTGGGTGTGGATGTGGATGTGGATGTGGATGTGGATGTGGATGTGGATGTGGGTGTGGGTGTGGATGTGTGTAGGGGGGGTGTTTGTGCGTGCGCCATCCCTCACGACATCCTCGGCCTCGCTCCCTCGCCTGCACCGTCCCGCCCCAACTCACCAGGGGCTTGCGGCGGGGCTGCGCCCTCGCACAAGAAGGCTCGCCTCCCGCCTCGCCGGAGGGCGGGCGCCGCAACCTCGGCGTTAGGCCCTGCCTCGGCGTTAGGCCCTGCCTCGCCGCCCTCCTGCCGTCGGGATCACGCCCCAGTTCGGGGTTCCGTGCTCTGCACGATATCTTGCCACCGTCTCCTCTGGCGCGCTCGGCATTCTGCCTGGCTTTGCTGAGCCTCCTCTTCTCGTTTCCTCGCGCCTGCCCTCGGGGTTGGCCCTCGGCTCCTCGCCTCACTGCTTCCTCGGTCGTATGCCGCTACTGTCCTCGTGCTCCTCTCCCTGCTGCCGTGCGGACCGCCCCACGGTGTTGCGTGTGCCCTCCCCGCTGTCCACGCCCGGATGGCGGATGCCGTTCTCCACGCCTCGTATTGCCGTGTCGGGCATCTGCGGTGTTGCGTGTGCCCTCCCTGCTATCCACGCCCGGATGATTGATGTCGGTCGGATCGCATCCTAAGTGATGTTGGTGGCCGGGCCGCGGCGCACATTGTGTGTTAATTTTCTCAGCCTCCTTGCGCACGAGGCCGCTACCGCCAAAAAAGATATGTGTGTGTGTGTGTGTTTGTGTGTGTGCGTGCGTGCGTGCGTGTGCGTGTGCGTGTGCGTGTGCGTGTGCGTGTTTATGTGTGTGTGTGTGTCTTACATGCGACGGTATTCAGCGACAGCTGATCGATCAAGAAATTGGTTCTTCTCAACTCCACTGCGCAGCCATCCTTGCTCCTGCGACACGGCACCGCGCCGTCCTGGTTTGAGCGTGCATGCGCCAGGACGTCGCCTCACTGGAGGCGAGCAAAAGGAACCAGTCTCGGCCAGATTGGCAACGGAAAGAGCGAAATCAAGAACCTCTGCGTTCCTCTCCTTCTGCACGCTGATGGACACTGCTGCACCTTGGAGCCCCTTTGGGGTCCTGCTCCCCAAAGAGCGCGTCCCACCTTACAGCGCTGGGAGATGTACGAAGCGCAACAGGGTTAGCTCCAAGAACAGACAGCCCTGTCAGTATACGGTGTTGAAAACATGGTAGCCTCAATGTACGTGGTGTCACCAAAGGCACGCTTTGTACCACGCAATTCCCAGAGGCAATCAAGGCAATACAACACCTCACACCAGAGCTCGCCTGGACCGTCACTCCTGCATTCCATTGCTCCCGTAGCCCTGGTCGACGACTCACGTAGTGGCGGCACCTTGAATTCATCGCACTGCTAACGCTAACGGGATGGCCCCACACTGCCACAGCCCCACGACTTCAAATAAATTGCCGGCCCAGATCGCAGCACCATCCTGACATAGCAGTGGTGGTGCATACCCCCGGCGGGCTTTCCACTGATACCATGCCGAACTGCAAGCACGTTTAGTTTAGCCCACGGCAGCCATTCCGTATCTTCAGCTTGAGTCGAGAAACGGAGTGTAGCCTGAGGGGCCCGATTGTAAGACAGCTCTGGACGAAATTGGCTGCTCACGATCGCCACGGCTAGCCACACCACGAATAGCAGCTGCAACGGAGACACGTTGAAGAGGTTCTCCAGCGACTCCGAAAACTCTGGCACACACTTCCCGCAGTCATGTCGCGGCTTCCACTTGGTATGCACTCAAGTATCCGTTAGCGTCTGGAACAGCATCGCAATCTTCTCGTCCTGGCGCTTCGTGACCCCATGACGCTTGAGGAACTTCCCCGTTGCCTTTGGAACGTTCCTGTCCTTCCACGCCTCCTTCAGCGTATCTTTGAAATCCGACACCGACCCGCTGGGTAGCTGAAACCTGTGATTGGACTTTGCCTCCACCGGCTTCATCTGCAGCGAGGAGAGGTCCTTACTCTTCTGCGCTAAGGGCGGCTCTGAGACCACCAACGACCCACAGGACGACGGAGGTGCGGTCGTGCTCGACCGATCGGGCAAGCTGGGCCCCGCGGCTGGCGGCACCGGCGGAAACGATGCCACCGCCGCCTGCAATGGAGCCACAACCTGCTGCTGCAACGACTGGTGAAACGACGCCTCCATAGCTTTTGCAAGGATCGCACCTTGGCGCCGAAGAGTTGTTTGCCTTCTCCTTCTCCGATTTCTCCTCCAGAAACTGGCGGTACTCACCATTTTGCTTGGTGAGGTACTTGCGTGCGCGGTCCATGCGCTTCTGACGGCCGCCATCGAAAACGAGCTGGATGTGTCTCGGCGGCGGCGGCGACGGCTGTCCCTGTCCCGATCGTGGTCGCGATCCCGCTCTGGGCGCTGCTGACCGCGAGGCTGCCACTGTGGTCGGGGACCCCATCATGGCTCCCACCGCTGACCCTGGCCCTGGCCTTGCTTGCTGCCCGTGCCGCCACCGCCCATCTCGCCCCTCAAGTGAGCTTGGTACGACCGACGCTGGAGCCACGCCCACAGGCTCGAGCCGAGCGGGCCGCGGGCGAGTTGGGCAGGGGGTGGGCGAGGGCCCGGAGCATCCACGGCGGGTGGCCCAGTAAGTGTAGCTCCAGAAAGAACTCGATTAGCCTCAGACTTGCAGCCAAACATGACAACCCAAGACACCGACATTTTGCCACTTTTTCCATCAAGATGCTTCGCAGAATCCCACAAGACATTTGGTGGGCACCTGGCCATTGGAGTACGTGATATTTCGCCATCGGCACGTGGTCGGGGTAATCCCCCATGCTTGCGCACAGCCAGCCTCGGTTGGGGTTCTTGCGTGTAAAAGCGAGCGCGCCACCATGAACCCTGAGACGCAAATCAAACCAGTCGAAGACGCCATTCGGATCGTCGTCGGACTTAAACACCACACTCAGAGCTTCCTGGGGCACCTGTTCGAGATACACCTGCACAGGATCACGGCAACGGGCATGACTACCAGACAAAATATTTCCAACATACCTGCTTCAATTAATAGATTCCCCGGGGTCCTCTGGAACATGGAAACCGCGCCCCTCGCGTCGGCGACGCGCGTCTACCAGCCCTTCTGCCCCGAGCCGAACCGATACCGCAGCCGACGACATAACGCCGCCAATGGCCATCCCAGCCTTTTCCGACAACAGCGCCCCCAAGCACAGCTAGGTTTAGCCGAAAAGCAGCCGCGGGAGCTCCACGAGCACGCGCTAGGGATGAAGACCACCAACCTCGCCCGCCCCGCCTCGCTCGGCCCCCGCGCTCAACCGAGAACCCCCCCCCCCCGACGAACGAGGGGCCTCGAGGTCCCGAAGTTCGATAGATAGGCCTGCTCGAAGAGGCCCCGCCCTGGCTCACTGGACAATGACGCACGCGCCTCGAAGGCGCGGTCCACATCAGCGGTGGCAACATGTAGGCCTGGACCCACGCTCTCTGTGCATCTCTTGCACTGCGACGGGCGCGCCCCAATGCGCAGCCCCGACGCCGCCCCCTCCAACCGCTGGCGCGCGCATCTAATGTCGAAGAGCTTGCGCGACTGGGCAGCGGCTTCCACCGCCAATCGAACTCCGCGAGCGGCCACCTTCCATCCTGCTGCGAAAGGTGCGTCGCTCAAATCCAGAATTCGTCTTCAATGTCAGCTCTCCCCGAGGCTAGGATCCACTAATGGTGTTTTTTGTCATGCTCTTTTTGTTGTTTTTTTTTGTTTTTTCTTGTTTCGTTTTTGCGGCGCGCGCTGGACTCGCGCTCCGAACTCATTGCTCATTGCCGTTTTTGTTGGAATCGGGCGCCATGGTTTTGCCCCCTCCTTCTCGAGGGGGGTGGCTGAATCGCGGGCGCGCGTATGCCCATGTCTGCGCATCTCGCCAGAATGGTTCGTGGCCATGGCGATTGCGCGGGGCGGGGCCCGGCGCATGCCCAACGGCATGCGCATTGCATGATAGCGGCAGAGTCGTCTTAAACGCGTGGTCATTATTTTGGCGCGGTTTGGAAGTGACCCGCCAACGCCTTCCCGACATTGCGATGCACTCACAGGTGGCCATTACTGTCAAGCGCTCACAAATTGCCATGCACCGCCCTGCAGGCACTCGGAG